AACTAGGTTTAGTTCCTTCAAAGAAAAAGATTGAATTAACTTGATTTATATGATCTTATCATTGCATCAAAAGGTAAATTTACGTAAATTATATTCAATCTAATATATAAAGTGCAAGATGATATGACCCTTGGTAGGGTACCTTTAAAGAAAGAGATTGAATTAACCTGATTTATATGATCTATTGATAGTATCAAAAACCAACTTAGACGCGATGTGAATTCACTCAAACATATAAAGACAAAGATTTTATAGACCTCAGTATCGTACCTTCGACGATATATAGTGAAACTAAATGAGTTATATGATCTATTGATAGTATCAAAAACCAAGTTATTCGTGAATTATATCCAATCAAAGATATAAAGACCAAGATGATATGGCACTCTGTATGGTGCATTTAACGAAATGGAGTGAATCCATCAGAATAATATGATATAATGATATTAACAAAAACCAATTTATATGCGATTTAAATTCACTCGAATCTATAAAGACGAAGATGGAATGGACCTCGGTATCGTACATTCAACGAAATATAGTGAATCCACCTGATTTCTATGATTTAATGATAGTATCAAAAACCAAGTTATACGTGAATTATACTCAATCAAATATATAAAGACCAAGGTGGTATGGATCACGGATGGTACTTTTAGTGAAATAGAGTGAATACAACTGATTTATATGATCGAATGATAGAATTAAAAACCAACTCATACGCGAATTTTGTTCAATCGAAGATATAAAGACCAAGATAGTATGGAACTAGGTTTGTTTTCTTCAAAGAAATAGATTGAATTAACCCGATTTATATGATCTACTGATGGTATCAAAAGTCTACTTATACTCGAATTATATTCAACCGAAGATATAAAGACCAAGATGGTCTGACCCTCTGTATGGTAAATTTAACGAAATAGAGGGAATCCCCTTGATTTATATGATATACTGATAGTATCAAAAATCTACTTATACGCGAATTATGTTAAATAGAAGATATAAAGACCAAGAGTATAGTATATTCCAGGAAATAGAGTGAATTCACCTGATTTATGTTATCTAATGATAGTATCAAAAACCTACTTTTACGCGAATTATATTCAAGCTAAGATATAAAGACCAAGATATTATGGCCCTCGGTATCGCCGCATTCTTCTTTAAATGTATAGAATTGGGTTGTCCTCGTTTTCTCGACTAGGACTTGTTGTCACCTTGTCCGATGTCTTCTACCATATTTGCTATCATATTTCTCATCGTCTGAGTGTGTACCAAGTCCACGAAGTATATTCAAGTTTTTTTGTCCTTTTCACTACAGACTTGCTAGAATGATAACCCTTTTCTGATGATGTCTGTCATAGCAATTGTAATAGGTTGCTTCGGTTACAGCTTAACCAGGAATAGTAGCTATTCCAAGCCCGGTCCATTTGGTATCAACAGACGACGGTTGACGATGAGCACATAGTTCGAAAGAAGCGGAGCGGCACAAGACTTCATTCCGTTTTGCCGCTGGCCGGGTTCCGGACTCGAACGCCGCCATTCAAGCGCTAATTTGCCCAATTCCCTTGCTTCTCTCCACCATCCCCACCGCTTCCTTCCTCTCCCGCGTCAGCTGGGCTTTTCCCCGCTGTCGTGACGACGGCCAGCTTTGTCAGCCTCAAGTGGGAGATCGACGAAGTCGAGTCGCTCGAGGCTGTGAAGCCGAAACCGTCAGCGACGGGACTCGACGCCACGTTCGGCCTGCCTCAGGACGGAGTGACATTTCAGTCGGACCCACCGGCACCTCGACTCGACTTCGTCAAACACGTCGAGCCCGGCGTCCGCATGCGGCTGGAATGCACTGTACACTCCGAGCCCCAGTCGACCGGCCTCGAGTTCGAGTCCCGCTCCACCGGACAAGCTGGCCCACCGGTCAGTGTCTATCTCACCTGCCCTCTGGCGAATGGTGTCTGTCTGGAGGACTGTAAATCATCCGCTTGGGTGGAGGGCATCCAGTGTGAAGAGCTCCTCCGCCCGGCAACCGAGCCGCCCGACATGCCGGTCGCCTGGCGCCAGGACAGACGGGCAGACGAGCCGGAGACGGGCGCCCAGCAACGCGTCTTTCGCTACCTCGTGCCGCAGGTGACCGGCCGGCACAACGGCACTTGGGCCTGCCAGAGCCGGGGCAGTTCGAGTTTGCAGAAGCAGTTGGTTGTCTCGGGTAAGCTTTGTCCACAACAGGGCAAGCAACCTCACCAACGAGTTGCCATGGGCAACAGAGTGGTCTTGCGCATAGAAGATGTCTGAAATAGGAATGGTGACTGGGTTTCGAGGCGTGGATACTGTGATTCTGTATGAAATCTGTCGGATACTCACATTCTTTGGCTGTTCTCACAAAAAGGACAACTGCCCATCTCCGTTGTTGTGCAGTCCTATTCCCTTTCCCGTTTCGAGGGAAACTGGCCAAGCCCTCGACCGTCATCGAGTAGATATCGTCAGAGCTGGAAAACATGCTTCCACAGGCCTTAACCTGACCCCAAGTCAATAAGACTATCCGCCTACATCCTACATGCTGTGCATCCTGACAACCCAAAACGAACATATATAATACACACAGAACTATAAAGATATAGAATCATTTGCTTAGTTCTATTTTATGCTAATTAAGGTACTATTAATTGACTGTGTGTATATGTGTGTGTGGGCTACATTTGCTCACAGGCAAGAACGAAAATATTGAGGAAAAGATAAAAAGATTGAAAATAATTTTGTCTTAAGCAGGCTGCGTAACTTGTGTGTGTGTGTAATATATATAT